ACGCCAGAGAATGTTTTGCAAAAACTTTTGGTCGGGGTTTATTCTGACCTGCCTGTTTTTTCAACGTCAGACGTGAGAAAATAGATTCTGAATCTACAGAGGATGTCATACAGTTCTGACTGTACTTAGAAACCTTTTAGGGTCACATCATTAAGAGAGTATCCTGACGAACTTTTGCACGAAGCGTCAAAAACAACGCGCAACTTTGTGGTTGTACTGAGTTCTCTGATCACACACAAATGGGGAATGAAATATTTATTTTCTAAATTAGAATTGGTCATTGTCAATGGGACATACTTGGCATGACCAAGTGCTATATATTCATCAATGAAGTTTTTGTATTCAGAGAATAATTTAGGGTAATTTTGGAAGCGTTTTTCAAGCATGGAGAATCGTTTTTTCGCTATGGAAAACGAATCACCAAGTTTTTGATGTTCAGTGGGAGTTTTGAGGGGTATGTTCACTTGGAATCTACTATCCTCTAGTACTTTCGTAGTGGCAATGAAATTATTTTCAGCTGCTTCTTCTTCGGCGGTTAGCGAAAATTTTTGAGGAATTTCTTCTACAGTCCAGAATTTGGTAAGTAATGTGTTCAAATCTGAGATCTGAGTAAAGAGAGATACATTTTCTTGATTTACAGAGAGATTATTATTAGCAAAAGACTGAGAGTAATTTGAAATGCAACAGCTACGGACATTTCCAGCCACTAACCAACCTAAATTAGTGTTTTGCAATACGGGCAATCTTTTTCCTAGGTATATTATGCCATCTGACAACAAATAAGTTGTAGTAGCAATCAGCACCAATAAGCATATCTATATCACCAGGATCTGCTAACTGAATGCTATCTGGGATGTTTAATTTTTGTATATCAATTTTGAACTGAGGGAGTTGGCAATATTTTTTAGGATAGCGCATTGAATTTTGATTCTTCGTGATGAATCGACATTGAAATATATAAAAATATTTAGCATTTTTGTTGTTTTGGGCTATGCCAGAGATTTTTAGAACTTGCTCGACAGGTTCTAATTGAAGTTTGTTTGCCAAACCTTCAGTGATAAAGGCGTTTGACTACCATTGTCAAGAAGAACACGTGCCTTAATGGGAATGCCCTCATTTGAATATACCGTGACTTGAGCTGTAGCCAACAAGATTTGAGAATTTTTAGTGAACAAGGTTGCCACACTTTGAGTATTTTCCAAATTATTAGAGCTTGACGACTGTGTCTGAGAACCACTCTGATTGGCTATATTCGAATTGCTTGAATTTTGAGCAATATTATTGTTTTTTTGTTGAATGTGAAGAATAGTGTGGTGTTTTTTCTTGCAAATTAAACAACTTTTAGTTGAGTTGCAATTTCTTGCTTCATGTTTACTTCCTAAACAATTTATACACATATTTTTCGAGTGAATGAATTTTGTTTTTTTCTGAGGGAGGTAAATTTTTAAATTTAAAGCATGAGTAAATTTTATTGCCTGGAATGTTGCAATAGGCACACGAAAAGTTTCCATTTTGAGTATATCATTCATTAGAACTTAAATGTAACGAACATTTATATTTGTTTTTGCTTTGAAACTGCGATTCTGTGCTGGACAAATTTTCTAAGATGACACACTTTTTCTCTAGAAAATTGAAAAATTCATCTAATGTAGGTAATTGCGTTACATCGCGTTCTTGTTCGAATAATCTGCTTGTGTTATAATCTAATTTCTTTTGAAGTGAATGAGTTAAAAGTAATTCAAATAATCGTTCATCGGACAGTTTCAAATTTTTTAAACACTCCAAGTTCTTTTTACAAGTAGTGACAAATTGTCTTAAATTACTAGTTGTACATTTTACAGTCGATGGAATTTCTAACAATGACGAAAAATAGGCATTTACAATACAATTTTTGTTTTCATATCTTTTTGTAAGAATATCTAAAGCAATCTGAAAATTATCATTGGTAACCTTTAAAGATTCAATTAATTTTAGAGGATTATCTTTCATTATTATGATTTTAGATATACAGGGTGACATAGAAAAAAGTACATTGCATAGTGTCATACAATAGAGGACACTAAAACAAGAAAAAAAGTTCTTATGAACATGGGTCCGCAAGGCCTTCGGTTAAAGGATACGGGGTGTTGAATTTTAATTTTTTTTTATTTGCAAAAACAATGATAAATACTTCAATAATTAAATTTTAATGGTATGATGAAAAATATGATTAATTAAAACAAAACATAGTTTTTAGAAGATGTTCAAATTGTTGCCCTTGTATTTCAATACATTTTTCCATTCTTCTTCTTAATGATTGACGGCTTCTTTGATTTTTTTCAGTCGAAAGTGACATACAGTGTATAGCAAAAAAGTTAGGACCGATTCAATAGATATGGAACCCTGTATGTAGCGCCCTCTATCAGTAATCACAAAACTAAGATCATATTTGAATTTAGCATGATAAAAAAAAACTGTATACCACATTTTATCCATTTCTTGCGACTCTGGCTAAAGATATTTAAAAAAACCCAAACAAAAATAAAATTCAACACCCCGTATCTTTTAACCGAAGGCCTTGCAGACCCATGTTCATAGGAACTTTTTTTCTTATTTTAGTGTCTATTGTGTGGCACTATGCAATGTACTTTTTTCTATGTCACCCTGTATAAAGCGTTGTATATCTATCAAGTTTTTGTTTTGTGTTATTAAAGCAACAGAAAGTTGAGAAAAAGATTCCCATTCGCTTTGATTACCTGAAAAATTGTTTATTTCTAAATTAGGAAGTTTCACAGCTGGGTTTACTGATTGTTGAACAATGGTCATTCTGTTTTCTGACGAACTAGATGAAGAAGATTTTTTAATTTTATCTTGGATTAACGCCAAAGCATGAAAATATTTTTTTTTCCATTTCCATTCTATTTTCCTAGTCTTGCATTAAGCCTGTATTACCTTCTTCTATCAATATATCTTCAATTTTATTCTGAATATCTGTGTATTTTTGAAATGCGTTTGTCAAACTTTCTTTTCTACAACTGAACTGACTTGCATTTAATTCAGAATCTTTCTTTTCATTCAACCAATTTAATATTCGTGTAATAGAAACTTTAGCATGGCCTCGAGCACTTTTTAACTCGTTAAAATCCATTATATTAATTTTTAATTGTTGTACAGTTATTACATTTAGTAACATTTATAAAAATCTGGATAATTATTCCCCTCGCGTTTGTCAAAATGATTTGACCGCTCTGTGGGGATTCTCCTCACATTGACTTCTCGGTGGGCTTAGAAAATTCAAAGGACCGTATTTTCTTTATTTACAACCAGCACAATGGTTACATAAAATAGACACATCTAAAAAATTGACAACTCGTTTCTTTTATAAACATTAATTTTTTATGTCACTTGTCAGTAAATTTGGAGGGCTTAATAAGAGCAGCGGGGATAGTAACTGGCGACGCGCTATATTGCAACACGCTCCATTTCAGTCACCGGTGACTCAATATTATCTGACTGATCCATTAAAACAGCATGATGCAACGTACTACTACATTTTAACGAATCCTGTTGGCTATACCATTTTTGTTACTTAAACTGTCAGCAACATAACTTTCTGCAATTGTGGCTGATTTCCACCCACCATGTCTCTTGATTGCTAATACATCAACTCCTGTATTAGCCAGTAACGTTGCTGATGTTTTTTGGAATGAATGACCTGTATATGTTTCAGGATGTTCTAGTTTCAAAAACTGTGCAACCTTATCATAGAAAGGGTATTCTTGCCGACGGGTTGGTTGTAACATCTACCTGTTTGATAGCGCATAAAAAGCGTGAAATTTTAGTTTTAATTTCCAATATAATCTTCACATTTTTCTTGAGAATTTCTAGGTGAGTAAATGTACGTGATATACCATTTTCAGCATCTGGAATTGTAACTACAATAATGTCATCGAAATTTTTTAAATTGACGTCCAAAGAAGGTTTATAACTCATCAGAACGTCATGTTCCTGCAATGCCTAAGACCGTCACTACCTTCATTAGCAAATATTATCAGGTGCCTAAATGAGAAAATCGTTGAGTTGTTCTCTTGTAAAATCGTTTGACTTTTCAGGTGTATAGCCATCATTCTTACGTTTCAAAAATAATCTCAGCTTGGGGTATTTTGATATATCCACGTTCTCCTCTATGAAAATAGTTGACTTAATCATTGAATATTCACTCCACAAATTCGCCAGTGACTTTAAAGTGCTTGACTTCACCATGAAATATACTAGCAGTGATATTTCAGAAATACCAGTATTTTTGTTCTGGCACCATTCTTTAAAATTTCTATATGCTCGTCCGTAGCGCAATAAAACTTCGCAGGCAGGCATTTGCTGCACTTTCTATTTGAAAATCATTCATTTAGAACTAATAATTCAAAACCAACCAAATTGCATCTTTTATGCAGCTTTGTTTATAAACACCTTAGAAACGACAAAATCCAAACAACCAAGGCGACTTTGCAAAATTTAGAATAGTGTCAAAATGAATTGATTAAGAAATGTCAAAAAATAAAACCTAATCTTTATTTCATGAACCATAAAGAACTATGGGAGCAGATAAAATGTTATACACCACGCAGCAGTTAAGTATAATTTATCAGTTTCGGATTCTATTGCCAGCCCTCGCTCCGCTCGGGCGCAAAATCGTTCTCGACGGGTAAATAATACCTTCTTTATGGTGTACATAATAACTATACAGTGTATATATTTTTTTAATTTTTCAATAACTGGTCAAAATGATTCATACATACAGTCCGTACAATATTTGTTGAGATTGAATTCCAAGAAAAGAATAAGCCAATAAAATTCTGTTATTGGAATTACTGTAACAATTTATTTCTTCAGGGGTGTGCCTTGAAATTTTCCGCCTTGCCTTTCTACCTCGGGTGTCGAATACCAAGAAAGTGCTGCAAGGGTGTTCTTGGAATTACGTCTCAACAAATATCGTATGGAGTGTAGGAATTTATATCTTGTAGGGAGTAACAATTGCGGATTTAAATACTAGCCTGGTCCAAGCAGTTTTTACTGAAATAGAAGAGGAGTTTGGCCGCAACAGAGTACTGTTTGTAAAAACAGATGTGACGGACATGAAACAATTTGAGAGTTAGTAATGAAAACATAATTCATATACAGAGTGATTTACAAGTATGAGGTTGAACTGAAACGAAAGTTATATAATGTGATTCTAAGGAAAATGATATGAATGTAATCCTGAAAACATGTAGACAAAAATGTAGATTTATAGATAATTTCAAAATGATTGACAGGATGAGTTTTGAACCATAAAAGAATGGAAACTAATATCGCGGAGAAGTTCGATATTTGAACAATAGTGTATTTATTACTTTTTTTTATTTTAATTAATTTAATATATCACAAAATATTGAAAGTAATTTATAAAAATTTAAATTTTTGGTGTGTCTTTTTAATACTCTTAACACAATCGTTTAGAGAATAACATTTTTGAAAAACCGTCAGGATTTTTTTTTACATAAGAGAAACTTTTCCCTATGTCTCCGCCACTGCAAAGACGAAAAACTGTTCTGTATGGCATTATTAAATTTTTCCAATCATGTTTTTATGGAGATTTTTGCTTACATTCATATTTTCCGACATCTATTTCAGCTTAACACCATACTTATGAATCTACCTGTAAAGGTTGATGTAAATTTATTTCTTATATGATACTTATTTTTTTAGATGCGTTTAAGAAAACTGTAGAAACATTCAAAAATGTTGACATTTTAATAAATAATGCTGGTATTGTTAGCGACAAATTCTTTCAAAAAGAGATTGCAGTAAACATTGTAAGTATTTGTAATTTATAAACATAAATTAATTTTAAGATTCAATTTCAAATAAATTTAACTGTCAACTAAATCCATAATTTTCTTACTACTTCGGTACAACTATATTAAAATTTATTATATTATTTTCCTTATTTAAATCAATAACGATCAGTGCACCGATGACTCATTTTTTTACAATTAACTGTCGAATTAAAAAATAGAACAAAAAAAGATCCCTCTTTAGAACCTGTCTCATAAATTTGTATATTGAAAGACGATTTTTTTGAGAATTTTTTAAGAAAAAAAATGCCACTCTTTTTAAAAAAGCACTTTTGGTTTGGTTTAAAAATGAGAAAAGAACTTAAAATGCTGAAACTTAATTATTTTTATATATTTTTTTATACAATTATATCAACACAAACTGAAAAAAAAGTTTATGATATTTACATTTTTTACTGTTATTTAGGTTACTTAGGTATTTGAAAAATTTTTACCCAAAATATTCCTGAGAGATTGAAATAAAAATTTGAAAAAATTGGAAGGTATTCTAAATAGGGACTAAATAATCCAAAAAAATCAGAAAAATTAAAAATGGTCGGAACACGATCTCAGTGATTAGGCGTGGAATGTTCCATAACTATCATATCACAAACAATTTAAAAAAATGGTTCAATTTGACTGGCGAATGCCATATTAACGTAAATGTAAATATGTAGCAATATTTTTCTCAAAATACTTTGGGTGATCATATTTTTTCTTTTCAATCAATAACAAATGAAGATATTATTAACACTATATAAAATATTAATAGTGAGGATACATGGAATTAATATAAAAATGATTAAAATTGTAACCTCTGCGTTGATATTGTTAGAACCATTTTTAATACATAATTCAATTACTGAGTATATTTCCAAATATCTGGAAAATTGCAGAAATAGTACCAATACATAAAGTCGGAAATCCAAGTGCTTATAACGAATTAAGACCAATATTACCAACATTTTCAAAAGTTTTTGAAAAAAATTGAAAAATTGTAGTCCAACAAGTGACCAACTATTTAGAAAGAAATTAAATTCTACCACTGATGCAGTCGATGATATATCTACGACACTTGATAAATCACTCTTAACAATATTAAGTAAGGCATTCGATTTAGTATCTTTCGGCCTTTTATTATCAAAGTTTATATTGGATTTGATCAGGCTGTTCCACTGTTGTTTCGGAGTTATTTACAAAATCGATTGCAAAAGGTGAAAATAAATCATGAATTAAGTTCACAATTAAAGTCAGTAAAAAGTGGTGTATCACGAGGTAGTATCTTGCTACCAATTTCGTTTTCCATTTTTATATAGACATCGATAATAATTTAAATTTCAGTAAACATATCAAACATATTTATCAAATTGCTTTCTACAAACGTAAGTCTCTATATCATTTAAAATATAGTCTAACTCAAGATATAAAATTAAAGCTTGTCAAATCCTTAATACCCTATACCCACATACTGATTATTGTATGGTAAATTATTTTCTGCCACAATATACAAAGAAAAGTTACAAAAAATATGAATCATATAACTCCTTACATAAATAAATTGTCTGAACTAAAAATTTCTGGTAGAATAATGATGTATATCTTAAGTTTCTACAGTGATTCAGAACTTATCCAAAAAAAAAAATTCTGGATGTACAGGGGACCCTTACAAATACAATTTTGTAAAGAAAAAATGAAAAAGGTCAGTTCGAAAATGATTTAAAAATACACTTCTGCACGGCACTGGAAACTGGTCCACTGTAAAACCTGACCTCGCACAATGCGACCGGCATGGCGGTGTGATAAAAACCAACCAACACCAACATGTAAACACATTTGGGTCCGTCTTACTCAGTTTCTACGAACTAACACAAATGTTGTCTTGCTTCACCATAGCACAAATGCTTCACCATAAATTAAACCGATATCCATCAACTCCGAGTTACTATACACGCAAACCATTTTTGACGCTAACTACCCATTTTTGACACTAACTACTAAAAAAATATTGCAAACACAACAGATAACAGGTAAATACTGTTGCAACGACGATTGCAAAATACGATTTCAGTATTCGGAGTCGCTGAGGCCACGTGGCTCTCCACGCGCATTGCAAATGACGCTAGAGACTACAGTTGTCCAGCTATGTAGTCGTTGAATGTACTATAACTTCAATAATTTTTTTCTCGGAAACTATAAGGATTTTACAAAAAATTTTTTTACGATATTGACTCCATTTCTCATGCCGCATCTATTCCCAAAATTTTTTGGATAAGTGCTGAATCACCCTGTATATGTCAAAATTTCCTCGTATCTACGTAGCTCTTTAAAAAAACGCTCACATATGTTCATAATGTTAATATTATAACAATTTGTTATTGGATAAATCAACACATTTAAATACGGGGTATCGTTTTCATATATTGCTCCTACTTTTTTAAATAATGGATGATGAACTAAATTTATCATATATGTAATTTATGAAACATATTACATATTAAAGAAAACATGCTACTTTTGAAGCTAATGAATAGTTATAATTAATATGACGATACTCAATGACACAGGCACACAGAAAAAGACTCCAAACCCAAGACACCCACATAATCATTTCCGAAGGAATTCGATGCGCTGAACACTATACTGATGTCAAAGTTCAAGACTTCCTGATGAATTTCGGAGAAAAGTGAAATTTTTTTGAAAACGCCCAAATATGGGTCAACTGATTTTTTCCTAAATTTTGTCCAAATGTATCATTTTCGTAGTATTTTGAGGCGCTGAACACGATGCTATTACCAAAATTTACCTATGGCCTTAATATTTCTAAGAAAATCCACTATTTGGGTGAAAACTGAACCAAATACGGGTCAAAACTGATTTTTTTCTAAATCTTGTTCAAATATATCATTTTCGTGGTATTTTGAAGTGTTGATCATGATTAAAATTAACCCATGACCTCGATATTCCTCAAAAAATCCACCTATTTGGGTGAAAACTAGCCCAAATATGGATCAAAACTGATTTTTCCAAATTTTTGTGCAAATATACAGCGTGGTCCGAATTTTATGCAGGAAACTTCAAGGGCAGATAGATCGCTTTAAAATAGTGGGTATTTGCTTTATAAACATACGTCTCGAACAGCCTCGTTTTAGAGATACAGGGTATTGAAGTTGTTAAAAAAAATTGATTTGTTTATATCTCCGGAATCTATAAACCGATTTCAATAAAATTTAGTACATATAATGTATGATAGTAGGCCTTGTGTTCCCTAAAATATAAGCTCTAAAGGTTCAACCAGTGGTGTACAACTGGACACGGTCACCCCTCTTTTATAAAAAAAAAACCTACGCCACTGTATTTTTTACAAGCTAACGGAATTCTATTCTAATGCACAAAATACGTAAAAAAGGTAACTTAAATTTTTTCCCTAAAGTTCACCGTTCTCAAGTTATTCATACCAACATAATCCCCTTGTGGCAGACACTTCTAACCATATTACAAGAGTATTTATGTTTATGCTTAAAAGTAACTGCAATTTGTAAGCACATCAACAAAATTCTTTACACTCGTCGCTTTCATCTTTTTGGATTAAAACGATATTTGGAAAATCACAACGGAGCAATGAAAGGCACAGAAATGAAACTTTAAGAACATTTGACGATGATCCTCAGCTAAGTGCACGAAGAACGTCTCGGCAACTTGGGGTGAATAAATCGAAAATTTGAAAAGTTCTACATAAGGATGGCAGAAATCCGTACCAGTTACAACCTGTGCAAAATTTACTTCCGGGAGATGCAGAGAGCCGCCTGAATTTTTATAAGTGGTTGTTAGAATTCTTACTAGAAATACTTTGGATCGATGAGGCTACGTTCACAAAGCGAAGGGTAGTGAATTTTCACAATTGCGTATTTGGTCACAAGAAAATCCTCATGAAATTCGGATAAGATCTTTTCAACACGAAATGTCTGAAAATTTTGTCTCGAAATAATTCGCAATAAAGTTTGTGGACCTTTCTTTTTGCCAACAAATCTAAATTCCCAGTCATTTTCTAACTTTATAGAAAACCATCTATTTGAGTTATTAGAGGATGTTCCATACCACAAAATAGCTGGATACAAATGGATGGTGCTCCTGCGTATTTTAAGAGAATAATACAAGAATGGCTTAATGAAAATTATATGGGATGATGGATAGGTAGAATACCAAATGCCAATGTCAACCATAATGGTACAGAGTCCATTATCTTGGCCAGCCAGATCGCCAGATCTAAACCCTCTGGACTTCTATGTTTGGAGTTGCCTATCTGAAAAGTAAAGTTTACTCTACTCCAATAGATACTAGACCACAACTACTGCAGCGAATAGAAGACGGGTGTAATGAATTAAAAGAAAACCACCACATGATATTAGCTTCAATTAGTTCCACTAATAGAAGATGTCAGAAATGTATCAATATGGGTGGTTCGCATTTTGAACAATTGCTGTAAATACGTAATATTAATTTTGTATCTTGTTTAGTTGTTGTTGCTTGATAAATGTATTTTTATTATTATTTTGGTTTAAATTGTTCTTATTTGTAAAGATTAGGTCTTCAGGAGAAACTAAAACACACCAGGAACATTACCTCATAGGTGATGTGGAAAGAATTTTGTTGATGTGCTTACAAATTGCACTTACTTTTAAGCATAAAGATAAATATTCTTGTAATATTATGGTTTGAAATGTCTGCCACAAGTAAATTGTATAGGTATGAATAACTTGAAAATGGTGAATCTTAGGGAAAAAATTCAAGTTACCTTTTCTACGTATTTAGTACATTAGAATATTAATCCGTTACAATAACTTGTAAAACATACAGTGGCAGGTTTTTTTTATAAAAAGGGGATGACCCCTATTCAGTTGTACACCACTGGTTGAACCTTTAGAGCTCATATTTTAGGTAATGCAAGGCTTACTATCATATATTATCTGTACCAAATTTGAGATCGGTTAATAGATTCCGACAAAAAAAAACAAATTTCTTTTAACAACTTCAACATCTCTAAAACGAAGCCGTTGCAGTCCTGTGGTTATAAGGCAAACTTCTATTATTTTAAAGAGATCAATCTGTCCTCGAAGTTTCCCTGTATAATTTTCGTAATATTTTAAGGCGCTGTACACAATTGTATAATTTACCCATGACCTCGAAATTTCTCAGAAAATCCACTATTTAGGTGAAAACTGATTAAAATATAGGTCAAAACTGATTTTTCCTAAATTTTATACAAATGTGTATATCATTTTCGTAGTATTTTGATGCGCTGAATTAGTGCCTTGACTTCGATATTTCTCAGAAAATTCACTATTTGGGTGAAAACTGACCAAAATACTACAAAAATGATATACTTGGCCAAAATTTAGGAAAAAATTAGTTTGACCCATATTTTATTTTCACCCAAAAATTTCACTTTTCTCTGAAATTCACTAGCAAGTCATGAACTTTGACTACAGGATCATGTTCAGTGTATCGAATTCCTTCGGAAATGATATGTGGATCTCTTGGGTTTATATTTTCTTTATGTCCTATTTATTATTCTTATTGGTGAAATGGAAGAAGAACATAGCACCTTTTGAGTTATGTTATATATTGAATGATTTTGCAACACATTTAATTAGACTGGACTAATTTTGCAACTTTAACTTACTTAATATTTATGCAATCGAAACTTTATAAACAATCCGTTTCTTTACTTTTAAGTTTGTGCATTGAAAACCCTATTATTAGCTATATAAGCAAGTAATTAAAAAAATTATACAGTATAACTTAAACATACCTTTCATACAGAATGGTGTGGTAAATGGAATTATTTTGGGCCTAGACAACTATTTGCCAAAATATAAAGAAGGATCTGAAGCGGTCATTGTAAACATTTCCTCTATTGCCGGCCTTACTGTGATTCCACCTATTCCTATATATTCTGCAACTAAGGCCGCAGTTATTCAAATGACTAGAACTTGGGGCGCTCCATCCCATTACGCAAGAACTATTGTCAGAGTGTTCGCAATTTGTCCAGGACCTACTGCAACATCACTATTGTCTTCTTTCAAAGACTCAACTTTAGGAGAAGGATATGATAACTGGTCAGACGTTAACTATGAAGCTGTTATTCAAGAGTAAGTCTTTTTATATATTCAGTAATGTATTGTACTATGCATGCCACTTTCGATGACAATTCCAGGACATCTAGAATACTATTAAATAAAAGTTGCTGTTTTTGAGAGAAATCCAATAATTAAAAAACTGATATTTCGAGTACCCTTTGGTAACTGTAAGTGAACTTTTTTCTGAAATATTTTATTTCAGATTTCTTTGACATAACTAATTCTCTAACAATTTTTGACTTACTTGTTTTGCATTTAATTAAATAGAAACCATTATTGATCATGGCCAGGTTAAAAGAAGGATGTTCTGCGCTTTGCACCAGAGTACAGTTGGCGCCACCCAAATGTGAACGGATTTTGGTTGTTATGGAAATTTCATCTGGATTTTATCGTAGTAAATCAAACTTTTCTTAGTGGCGTAACACAGAGAGGGTATTCTGATGGATAAATTCGACCAAGGCATTGTCTTCCGCGTCACTGGAAACCTTCCCGACACCTTGCCTTATATATCTTTGTAATCTTTGTTCTTTTTGTCAGCGTTATTTAATATAAAATATACAACTCTTATTGACATTTAAATATCAGCATCCACTTCACTCAAAGACCAATTATCTTCTAATTTAGCTACAGCCCTTGCTCTTTTCGCCTCAGTTAAATGCTCCTGCATATTTCACGTTACTTGTTTACATTTCATTATGTTTGCTCTAAGTGACATATATATTTGACAACTATTGAATTTTACGACGACCATAATTTGAAGTCTAAATTACACGGTACAATATTGCCGTTCACATTTGGGTGGCGCCGACTGTACATTGTTTATCAAACATCTCTCTCTCTCTTTCTCTATCTCTCTCTTTCTCTCTCTCTCTCTGCGTCCCCCCCTCTCTCTCTCTCTCTCAGAAGGGAGCTATGGTATTTTGAAGGTTTATGTGTTTTATCAGTTTCTTATATAACCCACCAACTTCAGTAAATAATAGGTTAATTTGATAAGATACCATATAAAAACCAGTAAAATAAATATTTTCTTTACTAGGCCTTTACTTTATAAGCAATTGACATTATATTTTTCTTGTTTTGAACCTGTCTCTTTTCGATGATATCTAAATTTCTATTCAGCAAAATCTCAGGAATTGATGTTAAACAACAGCAATGTACATCTCTCGCTCTCGCACTCTCTTCAACTCAGAAGCTGGTCGATAAGAATATCCAGGTGTTAACCCCAACAAGGTTTGTAGTATCTGCAACTATTGAAATGATACCTAGTTCAAGAACAGTGGAGTGGACTAGTTAAAGCTATATTGGAGCTCACATTTGTAGTAAGAGCGTAATTTGGTATAGTTTCTGAATTCTAGTTGCTCTGAAACTAGAAGTTGTATTGCTACATATTGCTATTTTACCCCATGCTTCTGAAGGTAACGTTCCAAATTGTTTATAAAAGCAGATTTTTCAAATATGTAAATAAATTCTCCAGATGGCATACCATCCTCATGTTTCTCGTTTTAGTTTATTTTTTCATAATTCAAACCGGTGGTATGAAGTTTCCCTCGCCATTGTGCCCCATGCCACAACAGCGAGCCTTTTTCTACTGATGCTATCAATGAAACAAATAATTGGTAGCAGTGGCATGCGAATGATTATTATTTAGCTGCGACCCAGTCTCATCCATATTAAATATGCCGCTAATAAGTTAAATGCTCATCAAACAATAAATTTTCTTACTGCACGGTTAACAGTTAGTTGAAACATGATTGCTGCTCCTTAACATTTCGAATTTGTCATCACGAATTGAGTAAAAACGAATTTAACCAATCGCATCCCACTTTCTCGTGATTAATCTTTAAAGAAATGTTTTTAAAACCATAATAAATATACATGAAACTTTTCTGACATCGTCTTGAGTTGTTGTAAATTCCTTTGCAAAATCTAAATATGTCGTATAAATTTTTCCTAATTCCATTTCCCAAATAAAAAAGAGAACCAGCTGTTTTCTCAGGTTTTTTCTGTTTTTTTTTTTGCTGTAAAGGCAGATATATTCCATAAACTTATTTATTAATGCCCTCATTACTCATTACTTCTTGTAAAGCTGCCTTTAGTTACTCGTCAATACACTCTCCTCCTGTAGGACATACCCGCTTCTATTCCATAGGCATACTTTGCAAAAAATACCCAAGTTGTAGAAAAATTAGTGGAGTATCTACCTGAAATGAATGGGCATTTGAGGAAAAATCTACTGGGACTGATCCTTCTTTTATTACTTAATGTCACCAAATATTTAGTTTTATTCACAATGCGTCAAGAGATTAACTTATTGAATTTATAACAATGAAATTTCAACCTTCTGGCGGCAGTATAAATGCAATTATCTACAAGTGAGAGCATTTTGTTAGTTGTTTTTTAGATAGGTATCAATTGCCCTTGCTAAAACTGATTGTTTCTTTATATCTACAAGTATCTTGTATCTTGATTTTATTTAATGTCAGTGTTTTACTGAATTGGAGCATAATTCCGATAATTACAAATTGGTAGACATGCTTATGGTAAATGTATACAAAATATTGCCACTTAACATATATTATTATTAATCGTCTCCTATTTAACCATGCACTAAGTGCTGCAAAATTAAGTAATACCATTCAATACCCATATAATCGTCCGCTACAACCACAGGTAACAACATCGAAAACATATTGTAGTGATTTTGAGAATATCAGGAGTCATTATCTTCGATTTCTACAGTTATGAATATACTGATACTTGTTTGTTAAAGGCAGCATTTATTTATTTGTTTATTTATTATTTCATTTATTTATTTATCTTAACTGTTTTGTCATAATATAATATAACTAGATTAACTATTTTAACTAGTGATATTGGGGATGTAATTCAATACTAAGCAGAGCATATAGCCCGCAGAGTGACTGTTTCCCACAATGTTATTGGTTAAAATCTATTAAATTACATCCCAAACCTTCAAAAAACAAACTCCTACTTTTGTTCCTAGGTGCTGATCAATCTAAACATTAACGAAAGCGAAATCATATTCACGATAAAATAACCATTATATTTCTACATTTATAACTGATAATAATAAAAAATGTATTTATCAAATAATCGATCTTATTTTCTATATTCTCCATATGAAATTGTACATTTTAATTATTGTTACTTATAGGCCTAAAAATGTGGCTCAAGAAGGGATCAAGCTTATACAGTCTTGCCCTAATGGAACTATATGGGTAGTCGAAGAAGGAAAATCAGCCTATCAGTATGTTTTTCCAGATAAGGAGAAAATGCAGAAGTAAATTTGGCTATTTTCTTGTAACATTCTACAAAGAGAATTACATTTAAAAAATTATTATTATTGGCGATTAGGAATATATTTTTAAGGTAGAATATTCTAATTTCTTTCACCCTTATTTTGTGTGTATAAGGTTAATTAACTTGCCAAACTCCGTCACTAGAGATCACTAAATTTCATCTCTAAGTCACATGAAACTCTTTATTTCAAATATTACTAGTGCAGTTAGGTAGGCAGCCAGAATGACGCGTGCCCACACTTCATTATTAAATTATTATGGCAAAATAAGCTAACATAGTAAGTAAAAGAGTATCTAATTTTGAATAGAGATTTTTGTTTCCTTAATTCACAGAAATATTTCCGCAAGTCATAATTTTATGTATCATTTGCTACTTTACCTTTTAAATATACAATATTAGTTGTTTTTTATTTCAAATTATATTTTTCATAAAAAAAATAACGGTATGAGATAAGAAGCTAAACTCTCGACTAAAACCTCTATTTAAACATCGTTACTGACTTATTAAATGTTTTACAGGTTTTTATTCATAATCCATCATTTCATATTTCTTTAAAAGACTATTGTAGACATATTAACGACTACCAGAGGCTATTGTTATTGACCGAAAGTCAATTAAACGGTCTTGACCAATTAGAATGTCAGAAGGTATACATATAGTAGCAATTTTATTATTATATTGTGGTGAGGTGAAAGTTGACTTGTATCAAGTACACATTTTCACAAATGAATGGAGATAGTGAAGTGGCCAATAAAAATATAATCTAACAAAGCGTTTGGTTGTGTATCTTATGAGTCAGAGAATGATTATTGCGTTAAAAATTTTATTTCTGTTTTCATAAATTGTCGTCAATATTTCCCTTGTAAGAGCGTTTACATCCATACTTATTAACTACATTAATTAACGTAAATAATTATTAACGGTTGGTCAAGTATTATAAATGTTGCATGGACATATGATGTGTTAAATTACACATATCTTTCAGATATCATTGTAGTAGAATATTTCCTTAAAATTTTAGATGGAGTATAATAAACTATGTATGTTAATGTACTAAATAAATAACTTTACAAAATATATTGCTTCCTGTCAGATACAGAGGAAACTATAACTTCCGTATTACTCCAGTCGACAGAGGCCGAAAAGTTACTGTTCGTGACATTTTTATGATAACTCGGAAATAACTACACAGGTCTACTTTAAATGATGAGTATAATATCAGACTAATTTGCTGACAAAGTATTTTATCAGGAAAAAAAGTTATTAACAATTTAATCGTGAATAAAATTTTTTTTAGTAGTTTTCTTTAAATAACTCAGCGGGATGACTTTGTACGAAAAAATGCTTAGGACATGATTTTGTTCGTAATAAAAATAGCTACAAAATGGCGTAAGGATTTAGATTTATTTGCAATATATTTTGACATATCGAACATTGATATAGTCCAAAATGGGTATAAGTATTTTAACTAAATCGCACTAATTAGTCCGTGAGGGGCTTATTTACTCATGGACAGTGTTATATGGTAGGCCGTGACAGTGACAGGTAATATTATGACAACATTGTTATTGTTTGACAGTTTGTATTATTATTTATTTAAAATGGGTTACACAGAAGTAGAAAATTTAAATATTATAGGAATTAAGATAGAGTAGTTAAGATATTCTCCATAGTTTATTTTAATTCCTAATAATATTTCAATTTTCTACTTCTGTGTAACCCATTTTAATTAAATACTAATACAAACTGTCAAACAACAACAATGTTA